TAGATCTAAGATAGAACTGTTTCTTTGGAAGGAGTGAATCTGGGAATATGGCGAGTGTCCAGTAGACCAGGGACACACTTGGAAAGGTCGGGGGTTGGAGTGTGCCTATCGCTAATCTTTAGACTAACAGTGGGGCCTGCAAGGCCAGAGGAGAATGCTTATGTTCCCCTGGCTGGTAGAGGTGGGAAGCTGACCCATGGCAGACACAGACAAGGCTTCCTCATGCTAAGGACAGGTGATAGCAAGGTTCATTACAACCCAGGGTACCCTGGGAAGCATCACAGTGACTGAGATTTAAGGGCATCTATTTCCTTAGACCGATATTGTCTCCAGATGCAATTGCTGGGAACCGAATAATACGGCAGGGTTCAATCCTGAAACCCTTGCTTAGGTGAGTATAGCTTAGTCTTACATTGACTTCATTATGGGAACAATAGGATTTGAATATGGTTTAAATGTGACCACTCACCTGAGCAAGGACAACTCATGTCAGTAAGGATTGCAGGATCATGCCATTACTATCTTTATTAGTGGTGCGTGTGGGGGAATTCCAAAAGATTGATTGTTTTCAATGGATTTACATCTAGAATGAGTTTGCCCCCCATGATTTTAAAACCACAAGGCTTACTTCACATTCTCCTGTTGGAGAAGGTTTCTTAATGACAAAGTTTAACTTTGTGAGGAAGAAAGTTGACCCCCCTATCAAGCCAAGTGGTTCAGCAAATTCAGGCAGGCATCCAAATTTCAGGATTTTATCCAAACCAAATCTGTACTCCAGATCTATTGAGGTTCCCTAGTAATTGGAATAGAAATATATATCATGGGTTGTGACCTGCAAAGAAGGAGAAAAAATAATCCCATATTTTACCTAAATAGCAGTTTCTATCTCAGGGTCTGAACCAGCATTCCTTGCAAACCCCAAATTCCCACTGACTCTAAGGGAGCTTTGGTTGTGCAAAGTATGCAGGACTGGGTCCACAACAAGCAGCAACCAAAACAGTGCATTGTTTCAGAGATTCTCAAACAAATGCAGAAGTCAAATTCCCTAGGACCTTTCCCCTTTTGCACACCATTTAGATGCTAGAAGAACACTGTAAACCACAGAGAGGTAGAATGAAAAGGAATAGATTAACTTTCCTTCTAGTGCTAAAATGAATCCTTATGTCAAACTTAGAACTGGAAAAACTCTGTTTTTTTACAGTTGTTAAACAATTACTATAAACTGCACTGTGGCTACAAACATGGTACACCATATGGAATATAAAACAGCATTTTACAAAAAACAAAATTTAGCAACTTGCCAGTTAACCCTAGTTTCAGGTATTATGCTAGAAATACCAATGGCCTAGCAAGCTGGCCTTAAAGATATCTAAGAGGGGGGCAAGTTGGGAAATCCAGCTGATTCTAATGAAAGATCTGCCTTGTGAAGCCAGAGGAGGGAGCCTAAATATATATAGAGTGCCTGAAAAAGAGATGATTAAGAAGCCAAATATAAATGTATGAACTCCACAGGAAATGTCAGTTAAATACAGATTGTGATAGTCATGGAAATGGTAAATTGGGCTCCTTATGCTGTCAATTAGTCTAGATGATCAATGCCCTAATGCTTCATATTACGGTAATACTGTGCAGTATAATCACATGAACTGGGCCCGGCGTTTATACAGCCATATGTGCTACTATATATAGATATTGAAATGCAGAGCTGCATTTAGATTTGTTTTACTTAATAGCTCTTAAAGTATGAACAAAACATTTTGGGTGCTTCAGCAAGTCACAGTGTAGCCATATCGTGCTTACACGATTTGTTGTTTCTCGTGGTGCTATTTAATGGACTATAAAAATGACTGTAACTAATCCATCTTCAATTTTAATTTCTGAAAAAACAACTATTGTGGCTTAGGGCAACAAATTAAACAGCATCAACCCTGCTGGATGATTCAGAGTTGAGCTTCTTTATAAAGAAGCTTAATTGCTGACCAAATGATTGTGGTAGTTTCTAATATCCATCTGTTATTGTGCATTAACCACTATTTTTGGGAGTTGCCATTCAGCATGTGAAATGCTTGCTGCACTTAAAACTTTAGAGAGTGAATCCTAGCTCTGCTAAGGATCAGGAATAATGTTTACAGAGGTGATTTTTCTGTTTATAATGTTTGTGTGTGGGAGTCCCACTTTAGGGGAGAAAAGACACAGAGATTGCTCAGAGTTATCTTGTACTGTACTTTGGCAACAACATCATCTATTCATGGAACATGCTTCACTAAAAAGTTCCAGGGTGTTTTAGCATTCAGTTAAAAGCAGCATCAGCCACATTAACTTCTACAATTTTTGTTTAAAACAATTCCCTATTTCAGCATGAAGCTCCAGTCTAAATATGATCCCATAACCTGGCTCCAGTCAGAACATGGGCCTGTAGCATTCTGTGTCAGCTGCAGTGTTTAAAGGTCTAATCTGAAGTCAGAGGAAAGACTCCTATTGACTTCAGTGGCCTTTGGATCTGTTCTTAAGTGCATAAGATGAAGGACATGAAAAAGTACATTGACCAGCCTTCCATGTCTTGATGGGCAGCGATCTCAATCTGGCAACACTAAAGAGATGATAATTATTGTGCTTCTGTTTATAGCTTTCTTCCTCCAAGTGATCTCAACATGATTTAAAAATATTAAACTTAATAGGACCTCTGTACATGAGTAGGTATTATTACACCCACTTTATAGAGATGTTAAAGTAAAATCTTTCAAAAGTGGCCAGTGATTTTTAGATACCCATTTTGGTCCCCCAAAAATAGAGGCATCCAAAACTGGTCACCACTTCTGAAAATTTGGGCCTAATGCCCTGATCCTACAAAGACTTAGGGATATGCTTAACTTTATACATGGTGAGTAGTTCTCACTGGAGTCAGTAGAACTACTCACAGTGTGTAAAATTAAGCACAAGTTAAGCATATGGACTCCAACAAACCAAGGGCCTCTCCTGAATACAACCCACTAAAGCTGCATTCATCTTAGTCTAGTCATACATAAATGCATCACTTGGCCAGATATTTGTGTTAGCCATATTATTATGTATCAAGCCTATTTATTGGCCACAAAGAGTCTATTACTAACACTTACAGTGAACTCCACTCCCAACACAACCTTCCAAATAAGCATGCTAATATAGCCCAGCTCTAAAACATTCTCATAGCATGAACCACATTTGAAGGGGAAGCTTGTCGCATGGATCTCCTCCCTTTTTGCAATTCTGTGGATTATTTCCATTCCTAATCACTTAACATCCCAGTAACCACAGCAATTGCCTCAATGCTAGGGAGATATTTAACATATACTTAGCTGTCTTTAATGTGATTTAACAGCTGAAAACAAGGAGAACTGGCACCATGTGACCAGTCAACTCTCCTTAGAGAAGTTGTTGAGCAAGTGCACAGTGGACAATTTTGGGAACCTCTGGACTATGGTATTTTGTTACACAATTAGTCCATTTGTCCTAGCACTTAAAAGGGTAGGTCCAGGCAGGTACAGTATCACCAAATTGTATCAGGAGTATCTGTTCTACAATTTATAAAGGAAAGATGGACATGGAGGGGTGAATAAGGATACAGAGGTCTATGGCAAAGGTAATCAATTATTTTTTTGCAAAGGTCCAGACTCCAGAGAAAAATAATACAAAAATAATAACAATAATAAGTAAATAAGATTTCAAGGTCCATTCAAAAGTGTCTGGCGGCCCTGATTTGGCCTGCAGTCTTATTGACTACCCCTGGTCTATAGCGTAATTCAGTGGTTTTTAATCATTTGCAGATACCTAAAATTTTTTGCATAGAGGTGCATACTCCTTTGGAAATTAGACATAGTCTGTGGACTCCTAGGGGGTCAGTGGATCACGGGTTGAAATCTACTGGCATGATCTAATGAAGGGGAAGCACAGGAGATAGAGAGCAGAAAGCTGCCTAGACTTACGGGTTTGAACAGTGACAACTCAATGAAGGACTTGGGTTTGGAAAATGCCTGTTGATTATTGCAGATGTTCTGCCAGTTTTCCCACGATGGGAAATTAATACATAAAGAAGGGGAATTGAGAATCAGATTTCTTGTATTAACAAAATTACAGTGAGAAAAGTAGTAAAAACCTTTTGGAAATGTAACTTAATATTTCTGGTGTGAACCAGCAGCACTGGATGCAACACAATGAGGTGTGTGGAAATTGCAGCAAGTGTGCAATGGAAGCAGGTGCACAGGAGCCATAGTGCAAACGTGCAACATACTAAGCAGCTAGGCACTAGGCAGGGTGCAGACATGCAACACAATGAGCAGGCGTGGGGCAGCTGTGGCATGAAGGTGCAGCTCAACAAGGTGCGTGGCAAACGTGCAACGCAAGCCCTGGTGCAATTGTGCAACACAATGAGCAGACATATATGGCAGCAATAGTGCAAATGTGCCACAACTTGGAGCAAGCGATTGGTAGCCGTGGTGCAAACGTACAACACAATGACCAGACGGCTGTCACCTCAGACCTGCCCACCTTCCCCCACCCCGAGTGGGCAGGAGCGGGTGGGTTTGCGGCCAGCGTTCAGCTGTGCCGCTTCGCCTGCGATGGCGGGTTTGGCGGTTTCCTGTAGCGTTTCGGGGAGATCTGTGTGCGCTGGGAGGGGCTCCCCGGGGCTGGGCGCACCCCAGGCAGGGGTGAGGCCTCTCATGGGCTCCCCACAGCGGCGGGAAGGTAATTGCACGGCGCCCCCAATAACTGCTGCGCTGCCTCCTCATCCTAGTGCCCCCCACCCGCGGCCTCGTGAGCCATTCAGAGCAGCAACCGCCACAGGCAGAAAACTAACGGAAACTTTGGCTGGAGCCCTGCGCATGCGCCGCCCCACCCCCTCGCCCAGCTCCCGCAGGGCATGGCGGGGGTTGTCGTTTCTTCGCGGTGCTCGGCGGAGGCAGGGAGCGGGAGGTCGAACCACAGCTCCCGGCAGCCCCTGCGCCCCACCCTGTCCCGGGCGTCTCTGTGGATGCGGGGAGCAGCGGAGATAATGAGATGCGTGTGAAGCGGCTCTGTCCCGCGGGGCGCCGGAGTCGCTCTGTCCCGCAGGTGAGTAGCGGGCTGCGCGCGGGCGGAGGGGTCGAGGCAGGAGCCGTGCGCGGGTCAACCCCGGCGGCAGCACCGCCCTTCCTAGGAGGCTGGGTCCGGGGTGCAGCCAGCGCAGGCTCCGGGAGCCCGCGGGGCAGCCCGGGCTCTGCGCTGCTGTTACGGGGGCGGATTCCTCAGCGCCGACCCGGGCGGCCCCGGGCTCCCGGTGGGGTGGGACCTTGACTGGGGGGAACGGGCTCAGGCCACATCATCTCCGGAGAGAGGTGCAACCGCTCGCCTGGGGGGGAGGGGGTCGCTTTACCGCGGGTGACTTCAAAAGTGGCTCCCGGGGGGAGGTCTGGAAACTTTCAGTTCCCCCCGACTCCGAATCAGAAACGGTGTGAACGAGCGAGCCGGCCACTCCCATTCCCGCGCGCTGCCCGGGACAGACCGACTTGTCCCTACACCGTGCGGGGCCATCGCCCGCGCCCTTCTCCAGGGCCACGGGGGGTAATGGGATCACGCAGAGCCCGCTGCAAAGCCTCACCACACGTGTGAGTAGCTCCTTCGAGCTCAGGGGCCCCATGGCATGAGTAGGGGGTTTGCAGGGCTGGACCCAAATGGTGTATGACGTGGGCCTTCTCGGTCAGTCCTGCCAAAAACACAACTTCCAGGAGAGTGAAAAAACTAGTAACAGCCCAGCCAACCACTTGCCGACGAGGGAGAGGAGTCGTGTTTTATCTGTATTATTGTGGCACCTCCGAGTCTCAATCACAGATTAGGAGCCCATGCCCACAGTTCTGAAACTTCTAAGTAAGAATAATGGGGATGAATTTATGAGAGAGAGAAAAATGTAGGTTGAACATTAGGAAAAATTCTCTGAAAGATCTAATACTTTGTGAAACAATCATCAAACAACCATGGTGGAAGATCACTTGGGACTTTTGAAACTGGACATGACCACACACTGAAAAAAGTAGTGTAGGAGCACTGTTGTACTGGCAGGGGAGAGGACTCGAGATCATCTAATAGGTCTTTTTCATCTTTGATTTCTGGGGTTCTGTGAACTATTTTTATTTTTACAATTTTAAAGCATTCCAGGAATGAGCATTGATTTCAAAATTTGATTTTTAAAATGTATATAAAGTAACTAAATTTTTTAATCACTTTGTAATCCTTGCATGGGGAAACTGTATAGACATAAGTTATATTTACATGGAATAGTCTTGTTAAATGAACCTTTCTGGTAGTACAACAATCAGCCCCCATTTTCAATAAACTACTTTAAACATTTACGTGCAGATAATAAAAAATTAGCATTAAAAGACTTAAATACAAATATTTAACATTTTAAAATGTTGTTAGTATAAGAATCAGGAAATATAAGTGACACCCTGGCCTACAGCATGCATCCAGTACCTACATTTGACCTGGTTTCTCTTAATTTCTAGCCACCAATGACCTCACATCAGTTAATTCTTTCATCTCCTTCTTTTGCCCACATCTCTGTGCCTCCTCCTATACTATTCCATATTCTTGGAACCACTTCCCCAAATTTGTTCACTAAACCACTTATCTTGCTTCCTTTAATATGCCACCTAAAATCTAATTGCTGCTATCTCATCTATGAGAAGTGAGGGATAGGAAAGGAGTACATGAAAAACACACACAACAACCAGCTCTCAGAGTTAAAGGAACAGTTAAGATGTTCACATGCTTTATTGCAGTGGTTCTCAACCAGGGGTACGTGTACCCCTGGAGGTACTCAGAGGTCTTCCGGGCGTACATCAACTCATCTAGATATTTGCTTAGTTTTACAACAGGCTACATAAAAAGCACTAGTGAAGTCAGTACAAACTAAAATTTCATAGACAATGATTTGTTTATACTGCTCTGTATACTATACACTGAAATGTAAGTACAATATTTATATTCCAATTGATTTATTTTGTATTTATATGGTAAAAATGAGAAAGTAAGCAATTTTTCAGTAAGTGTGTGGTGTGACACTTGTATTTTTGTCTGATTTTGTAAGTTTTTAAGTGAGGTGACTTGGGAGTACACAAGACAAATCAGACTCTTGAAGGGGGTACAGTAGTCTTTAAAGGTTGAGAGTCACTGCTTTACTGACTTGCATCTGAAGAAGTGAGGTTCTTACCCACGAAAGCTTATGCTCCCAATACTTCTGTTAGTCTTAAAGATGCCACAGGACCCTCTGTTGCTTTTTGCAGATTCAGACTAACACGGCTACCCCTCTGATGCTTTACTGAGTAAATGCATGATCTTACTATCACTTTTGCCTTCTTCTCTGCTTTGTTTGTTTATGGCCCTAATTTGTATTGTGACAAATGTGCTCTTTGAGGCAGGTACTGTCTTTATTTTTGGTGGCTAACACACTTTTGAGCACGCAAAAAGTAATAATTTTGTTGTAACTAGTTACACTGAAAGACAAAATAGATAAAAATTTACTTTCCTTTTTTGGATGAGGTAATTGTGACAAGCTACGATATTAACCTTGCAATAAGCCACCTTTATGTTGTGGTAGCGGAGCTCCATACCAGCAGTTTTGATTGCTGGATCAGGGACTAATTTCCCCCCCATCTTTACATCACTTTTATAACTTTTTACATACACACACTCATGTGGATCTTTGGTTATATTGTGGATAAATATTCACCAGTAGTTTTAATCTGTTAAATTAGGCTTGTAATGTTAATCAGCCTTATTCCTACTCAGGGTAGTTTTTATTTCCTGTCCTGAAGAAAGCATGGAGTTATTTAACTTTTTTAGGATCAATTTAATTGTTAGAGATAGTAATGTTCTCTGTGAGCATCCCTCATCTACAGAAAATGTGATGAAAAGCATGTGAGCTTTTATGTCTTCTATTGATTTGTTTTTGAAAAAAGTATATTATATATAGTATCCTTATACTTGGGTCACCTGGTGGAGCGTTTAGATAGTTTCTTTTTATGGGAGCAGAGTTACATGGGGAAATGCAGAAATGTTTGTTTTCTGTTATTTCAATGATATTTATTGAAACTGTGGAAGATACATTGATGAACCGGTGACATTTCTCTGAAATGCTGTGCACTCTCTGCAAAATATTGAGCATCCTTAATTTCTGAGGTTGTTAATAGGAGTCATAGAATTGTGCCCTCAGTCCTGTTTCAGATTAGTATATGTCTGACATGACATTTCATTGTGTTTTAAACTGTCATATTGCTCACTGTTGAAATGCAAATATGCCTCACTTTGTTCTTTAATACAGCCAAATAATAAAGCTCAGCACTATTAAAAATTCAGCCAGAGCTGTTGGTGTAGACAAAATGTATTCAATGAGTGGTTATTCAGCATTGCTCCTGAATGCTTGAAATGCTGGTTCAGGCAATGTCATCTTACAACAAATAATCAGAGTCCATAATCACCAGATGCAGAGCAAAAAAGAATTAAAATAATCACAAAACAATAATAAATACACATAAAAAAGTGGCAGGTTCACGGTTTGTCAGGTATAAGAACATTAATATGGTGTACAGTAGCTCTTTTGAAAACTTTGTGTAAATATCTTTCTACAGCTAAACTTTTCTAGGTGCTGTATTTCACATTTTGATATTGAATGAATAATATTAGAAATTCCAAGTTAAGTGCCAGAGAATTTTCTAATGATAATATTGTGAATGTTTGATTGCATTTAATGTATTTCTTATCCCACCCACAACCTACAAACCAATATACTCATAAAACAGAGCTGTGCTCAGCCCTTCTACATCAATAATTACAGTATGAACCACTCTTTCCTCTGACATTACTGGGAAAACAATCATGAAATGTCAAATGTAGCAGGTATGCTGGGTAGCTTTAGGCACCATGTACACAGTATGGCATATAACAAGGAAGCAGTTAGGCATCTGTTATTAACCAACAAAATGAATGTAAAAATTGATTAATTACACTATAGATGTATTTGCAAGGATGAAGTAATACTTTGAAACTAATGTGATTATACTGCTATTATGCAAAATTATAAACTAATTTGAAATAATAACATCAATTTTTTCCCTCTACCAGGCAGAATACGACGTTTCAAAATGCTGCAGATTATCTGGGTGAACCTAGAGATTAGATTTAATGTGCTTGTGTTTTTAGAAATGCTGTTCCTGCATTTCATGAGATAAAACACTTCACAAAAATGAAAAATTGGAGATCAATGAAGGTAACTTTTTTACCATGTCCGTACATGTTAATGAACTCTGAGAAGAACATTTGAAGAAAGAATAGATTCGTCATAAACACTGATATACGCAGTATTATTGGCTCAGGATGCTATCCACATGTTTTTTTGTTTAAATAGAAAAAGACATCTAAGTGAAGATGAGCCTTTGTTTGATATATAGTGTCTGGAGTTAAGTGAGAGAAGAAATATTTTTAAAGATCTACCAACAGTAATCTCTATTTGAGACCAAGATTTTCTCAAAAGAAATAAAATGAAGGACCTGTGTGAAAAAATGGCATTGATTTATTCCTCTGAAGGAGACAATTTCATGATGATTTAAGCCTCTCCCAACATCTGGATGTGGTGCTAAAGGCAAGTCTGTGTCTTTGATCAGCTGATTGAAACTGTGGAAAGAGGACCTTTAATTTAAAGTAACTTCCGGCTGAAATTCTCTTGCTCATCAGCTTGAACAGAATTAAAGGGAAAATGAACATGACGTATCAGTCAGGGGACTCTTACTGAACTGAAAAAGGGAAACTTTAGACTGTCCTTTAAACTGTAAAATTATAACAAACACCCTGGTCAAATATTTTTTTTAAAAAGTTGACTACTAGGCAGATCTCTACAGATTTAAAGAAAGTCAGATGTCAGCAAACAATTCCTCTCCTCCATCCTTACAGAAGTTTTCTCCTCCTGCATCTCATGCTGCTGCACCACCAACCCCTTCTCTGTCTTCAAGTCCCCAGTCGGGACTCTCCAACCGGCTGTCCAATGGCAGCCTCAGTACACAGAGTCTCACCAACTCCAGGGGCTCTGTGCATGGGGTCTCATTCCTGCTGCAGATCGGTCTCACTCGGGAGACTGTCACCATTGAAGCTCAGGACTTGTCCCTCTCATCTGTCAAAGACCTAGTCTGTTCTATAGTTTACCAGAAGGTATAGTATAACAACATAAAATGCTGTTGATTGTAATAATTGTTTTAATTTTACTATCATTGCTATCACTCTTGTAATTTGGATACATCAAGTAGTTATGTGCAGAGGCAAGACCAGTGTTGGAATTGTGTTAAGGTTGATCCCATGTAGTGCTAAAAGATGTATCTCCCAAGATGGGAGTTTCTGTTAAAAGGAAGTGGGCTCTCCTTATGTCTGGCTTCTGAAATCCTACAACAATAGAAATGCAGTAATAAAGTTGTACTCTTCATACAGTAATTAGTTTTGATAATATGGAAAGAATGTTATTTTTTCCCCTTGTGGTTGTAGTCAGTGTTGCTGCTCTCTAGTAGTGTTCTTCTGTGGTCGTTTCCGCTATGTATTTGTGTTGAAGAAAACATTGTTCAGCAGTATTCTTGGTATAACACAGCAATTTTCAAACTGTAGTCCTTGGACCAGTGGTGGCTCACAGAATGATTGCTGGTGGTCTGCAGGGGTCAGGTGGGTCACATGGTATTGGGTCGTCTTGTTTACAGCTGCAAAATTTCATTAGAGGGCAGCTAATAATTTTATAATATTTCTTTTCCATGTGAGCAATTGCTATAGTTGTCACAAGGATGCAATACACTCTTCAGTGGGAGGAGAGGGTATCAGAGACAATTTTTCTATTAAGATGCGGTCTGCAGTGTGAAAAAAATTGAGAACCCCCAGTATAGTGCTAAAATGTTCTGAGTTGGTAGAAAGGAAATGTGCATTTCGTTATTTATGTTCATGTGTTGCATTTATGTATAGATTACATGCTATTAACCAAATTTAAAGTTCACGTTAAGTTTCAAGCAAATAATAAAACCAACCTAATTTTATCTATTCCCTCAAATGAGTTGTTATATTAAACAGTTTTATAGAAGGGGAGTGGGAAAAATCATGGGAGAAAATAAACACAATGGGAGTGTGGACTAAGTTGCTTTTCTTTGCCTGTAATTGTTTTTATTTCTCTGAACTATGTTATGAATAGATAGGCTTATTAGACTTGGAATACAGTGTTCTTTTCCCTTATTTAGGATTTTGAGAGGGTGGAGGTAAGCTCGATACGAGCACCAGTATCTAGATAATCTAATTGCATTTCCTCTTCTCCATAAGATTCTTTTTTTTGTATTCTCGTCCTGTGTTCCACTTTTTTTTTTAGAAAGATAATAAACATATTGATTTCACAGAAGTTTTGTGAGCTACCAAAAATAGTTCAGGCAATGACCCATGTAATTTTTGGTGGGGAAAAAATATAGGTAGGACATAAAAGTTAGCATCACTATTGTTTCCAACCTTTTATGGTCCTTCTTTCTTTTTCTTTCATCTCCCTCTTTTTGCATCTGTATATTGCTTGTTTCTTCCTGTCTTCACACTTGTGACACCTTTCTCTGTGTTCATTCTCTCTCATTTTGGCACTTCCTGTCTATTCTTGGTGGCCTCAGCTATAGTCGTTTCATAGCTCAAGTTCAGAAGCACATTATATGTGGAGCCAGTTATATTGTAAAATTGGCTAGGATTTCAAGATCCTGCTCTTCCTCTCCCCAACTGATTTTAATGCATCTGTATACTAACTGTTGTGACTGATGATGCCAATAGAGAGCTGCTTAGGGAGAGCATGCCCCGTGCAGGCAGCAAACAACTGCCCAGGAAATTGGGGGAAGGCTGCTTGTGTGTGTTGGACTTACCTTTCATAAGTACTTTTGCAGCCAGTGCACAAGTGGCAATACTGTATCCTGCCTGGAACTGATCCTGAGGACAAGTGGCAGAGCCACAATTATATCCATAAATATGTTCTATTAACATAAAGTTCTCAAAATTACACTTTGAGAATTATTCTGCACACAGCTACTTATTGTCCCATCAGGAATGCCTTGTAATTTGGTAATATTCAGGCCTCACTTACCTGTGGCATTTCATAGCAGGCTCAGTGTCTCTTCTCTTGACCAGTTAACTTCTCCCAGCCTCAGGACAGTACACAGCTTGTTCTCATGCAGGTTCAGGAGACGCACACTTTTAAAAAACTGCTAATAGTAAATTTGTAGAAGTTTAGGAATTGTGATTTTTTTGAACTGTTTCTAACTTTTGTTCTTATTTAAAAATTTCTCAACTCTACTGATAGTTTCCTTTTACTCTTGGTATTTCTTCCCTATGTTTCTTATTAGTGCTTCTAAGTCATATTTCAATTGCATGTTATTTCTTTGTATAGCTGGGATGAGGGAAACCACTCTTGATCAGTCTCTGTAGCCTCAGACACCTCTGCATCTGAGGTTGAATTGCCTGGCTACCGTCAATAGCTCCCTACCTCAGGACAAGCTGTAGTAGAATATTAAAGAATGTTGGTTTGGGGGCTCCAGCTGTCCTCAGAGTGCTGATTAGTAGCCCTTTCCCCATCATAACCTGGAGCAGCAGGGACAGGATTTCTTTGCAAGTCTTTCCAAATACCTCATATTTGCCCCTCTTAAAAACAGTTATCTTCAAGCATGTTTTAATTTCTCTTAGGGGAGTTCAGTATACTTGAAAACTACACTTCCATCAGAAAGTATAGTAGCTACTACAGGTAACAGCTAAAAGTTCTATAACTGAAATTAGAGAAATGTTTTTTTTCCCCCCCAGTTTACTTTGTGTGTAGTCAGTTTTGCTGTTTTGACAATGGTCAGTTGGACTTCCTGTTTCATGCACTGCCCTTGGGGGAGCTCAAATCATCCAGGTCCTGCAACAGTAGCAGCAGCAGAATTGAAATTGAAGTGGAAGTGGGCATACCTTTTCACTGAGAGGAAGGGGAAGAGAGAGAAGCTTGGAGGGCCAAATATGTCTGGTTTGCTCTTAAACTTGCCCCCAAAACTCCTTTTAAACATCATCAGGAGAGCAGAAATAAACCTTTCCAAACTGAAATTCAGAGCATTCTGTGTATAGGGGATTCTGTATCCGAACTTTTTTTTTAAATTAGGCAGTTTAAACAAGTCAAGTTGTCAGTGTTCTTTAAATCTGACAGGGATGTTCCCAAATTATCCTTATTTTTACAGCCATGTGGAGGATTGTAACCATGCCTGAACCATAATTGGCATTGCTTCTGTCTTTCCTTATTTAAATTACCTGTGTACCAGCTACATTTTTGTCAGGGTGGAGTTTGGAGAAGAACCTTAGGCATAACCAAATAAAAATATAAACTTAAAGTGCATGTTGTTAAAAATAGACATTCATATGTAACAAGTGTGTTAGAGCAGAGCGAGTCTTGCTATCTGGTAAGATGTGGGAGCTGCCTCAGTAGTACCTGATTTAATATTTAAATCTGCTGCTAACTGCAACTGCTCTCTTCCCTGCACACCCTCTGATGTCCGGAGTGAAGCGAAAAGTAGAACTGTTTAGCAGCTCTCACTAGAAAACTAGTGTTTTAATGCATTTTGTGAAGTGTTCAGCTGACAGTGTGCTCTAAATTGTAGCTAGTATTTTCTTTATTCTAGATAAAGTAGAGGCAGTGTTCTCATAAATTTATTATAAATAAGAAAAAGATGTTTTACCAGTTTAAGTTTTTTTGTCCTGTTTTCTTTAGAACAGCAATCTCTGGCAAGATCTCCCCTCTTTCCCATTCTAAAGACTCTCTTCTGTTATCTCTCTCTACCCTTGCAACCTGTCCCCATTCTTTCTCAACTCTCGTCATCCTTGATTCCCTCTGTTATTTTGGCTTTCTCTTATCTTTACCTGCAATCTCTTCTGTGGCTGATTTTCCTTTTGCCTTGAAGAATTATATTTTTGTGTGTGTGGAGTTCTCATTTTCCTTTCTAACTACTGTTCTCCCTTTGTCTCCAAAGTCATAGTGTGTGATTTTTTTTCACACTTCTTAGATTTCTTCCCCTCTCAATTTCTTTATGGTCCTTCCAAGTTGGCTTCCTCCCCTCCATTTCCTGAAACTGTCCTGACTAATGATCACCACCTGGCAAAGTCAAAGGGACACTCCTTATTTATATTCATCACTCCTCAGATTTCTCTCCTCTTTGATTTCATCATTCTGTGCTCTCCCTTTTCTCCTCCTATCGCCATATATGTTGGCCTCCCTGAGGGTTCTATTCTCAGTCCCCTCCTCTTCTTTCTCTGACCGCATCTATTTCCTCTGCTTCATCTACCACCTCCACGCTTATTCCCAAATCTAGCTCTTTACATTCATTCTCATATTTCTTGTTCACTCTATCTCTTGGATTCTGATATCATTCCCCAATTTTCTCCTTTCTTCCTAATCTGCCTCCTTTAACTCTATTAACAATTCCTTTCCTTTCTGTCTGCCAGGCTCTCAATCCTAATATTTTTTTTTGCTCTTCTCTCCTCCCATATGCAATCTCTTGTTATGTTTTGTCACTTATACCTCTAGCATCTTCAAAATCCAGCCTACCACATCATCTGCACAGCTGAAACCCATGTGTGGCACCTGGACACCTTGACTACTGTAACCTTCCCCTATTTGGTATCTCTGGTTCTCATTTCTTCACCCCTCTAGCAGTAACGTTTTGGATACACTAAAGTCGTCATCTTCTCTCTCCACTCCAACTGTGTTAGTACCCTTTTTGAATCCCACCATTAGCTTCCCATCTCTTTCAGCATCAAATTCAAGATCCTACATTATCTTGTCTCCTCCACCTGTGTCTCTGGATCTTTGTGTACTTCTCCATCCTTTTACCTGATTGTTACCTTGATCTCCTCTTTGCAGGTTTGGCTTTTGCCTTTGATCATTTTGCCTTCCATACTCAGAGGAATCTTCCTGTTATCGTCTGTCAAGATTCTGTTTGCTTACTTCACATCTCTTTATAGCCCACCTCCACTGCCAGCAGTCCTTCATATCTTCTCATAACAATCTCCTCCATCCTTCCCTGAACTATTGCTTACTGTTTTGTCTTATCAGAATTGAGGCCTCAATCTGTTAAAAACTTACACATATGATAATCTTATTGAGTTTGCAGGATCAGGGTCTTGAAGTATTTGCAGGA